ATAATAACATCTTTGTGGCAACTCCCACCTGACAGCGTGGGTGGAGGAGACCAGCGTGGGATGCATACTGTGTTAGCGCCTCAATTTTGCCACACTTTTGATAGGCTAGTTTTTCACCAATATCTTTCTTCACAGCATGGGAATGAGGTAGTCTGGCACTTTTTCTTTTCTTTCCAATTATTTTTCTTATTGCCACTTGTCTTTGGTTTGAATTCACTCTGTTCTCACCTTTTATCTCAGAGTATTTCTCATTTCTTGGTTTGTATCTTATGCCGAATACTGTTGCTTCTTACTCCTCCTTATTGGAGGAGCCAGCGTTCCTCAAGTTAGGTGTCGACACCTCCACGTTGCCATTCTGCAAGTTGTCTTGTGTGTTTTACCTCCAGCCTGCTTATGCACTGGTCCACCCCAATCCCTTGCCCATGTTTTGATATTTGTTTCCTCTCATTGGTTTATGGTTTCCCCTTTGGCTTGCGATGTTTGTCTTTTCCTGTTGGCTCTCACCTCCAACTGATGGGTTGGGGAGCTTCAGGCTCTTCTCCAGAGGTGGAGGTTTCGTCCTTTTGGCCCAGGCAGGCAATTTGTTTATTTAAACCCGTCTCCTTTTTTGGTGAAGGGCGAGTGTGGGATTACGGAGGGTTTACTTTAGTGATCAATACTTGGTTGGTTCGGCCAGGGGTGCATCATCTGTTTTGTCTTGAGGCAGCTCTTTGCCATTACCTGTAATTACCTATGCTCATTGTGTACTCGTCTAGTTGTGCTTGTGGGGGTTGAGCTGCAGCTCTTTGGTCCCGCCTCTCAACTGTCAATCTACCCAAGATCCCAAGCTTCGAGCTCTATCACATCTACATTTGAAATTGTGTATGGAGTCAGCCTCCATTACATCACTTCCAAATGCATTCCATTTATTAACTACTCTGACACTGAAAAAGTTCCTTATAATGTCTCTATGGCTCATTTGGGTACCCTGCTTTCACCTGTGTTTCCAGGTGAGAGTACCACCAGTGTTAAATAATCCATCCTTATCAACCCTGTCAATTCCTTTGATTATTTTGTATGTGGTGATCACATCTCCCCGAGCTCTTCTGTCTTCCAGCAACTTTAGGTGCTGTTCAGCTTATGACCACAGCACTGCCTAAAAATGTCAAAATATAATTATATGTAACTGGTATTATCTAGCCATGATAGTATTACAGAAAAGCCTGACTGATAAAGACTGTACTGCCTTTCCTCATAACTCATGCCTCGTTAGTTCTGGAACTAGTCTAGTGGCATACCCCTGAACTTTCTCCAGCTTCATCTTGTGTTTGAAAAGGTATGAACTCCATGCTGAGACCACATACTCCAGGATTGGTCTTACATAGGTGGTATACAAGGTTCTAAATGATTCATTACACAGGTTTCTGAAGTCAGTTCTGATATTAGCCAGCCTTGCATATGCTGCTGATTACATTTTTTTGATGTGGGCTTCAGGAGACAGATTTGGTTTTATATTAACTCCTAAATCTTTCTTTCAGTCCATTTCATGAAAGACTTCATTTCCCATTCGGTATCCTTTGTCTGGCCTCCTGTTCCTTCTGCCTAGTTACATTACCTTACATTTACTTGTGTTTAAGTTTAGTAGCCATTTGTTGGACCATTCCTTCAGTTTGTCCAGGTCACCTTGTAGCCTCATACTATCTTCCTTGGTCTTAAATCATCCTCATAATTTTTTGCATCATTGGCAAACATTGAGAGGAATGAGAGTATTCCCTCTGGGAGATCATTTACATATACAGTATCAGAAACAGGATAGGTCCAAGGTCTGAACCTTGTGGGACTCCAGTGCTGATGCCTCACTACTCGAGAACTAACCCCCCCCCCCTCACAGTGTCTTCTGTTGCTTCCTGTCTTCCCAGTACTCTGTCATATGACATTTTGAAACTACTGGTGGTTTTGGCCATCACCATCACCATCACCTCACTTTATTTGCCCAAATCACCTACCTACCAGTCCACTTGCAAAAGTAAACTTTCTAATTTTGTTGTGACTTTACAGTACTTCTTTAGTTTGAACCCATGGATCTTAGGTTCAGGAATTTCCAGTTTTCAAAATTATGCTTTGTCAATTTTCTGGATTCCTGTTATTTTGTACATCATTTTCATATTGCCTCTTTTTTTTCCATCTTCTAGCTCTGGTATATTTATTGCCTCTAACCTATCCTCTTAGTTCCTGATTCTAAGTTCCAGAAGCTATTTAGTTGCATGGCTTTGCACTTTTCCACTTTACTGATGTGCTTCTTGAGATATGGGCACCATACAATCACTGCATATTCCAACTTTGGTCTCACAAAAGGTCCTGAATCATTTCTGCAATATTTCGCCCTCTAAGTACTTAAAAGATTTTAAAGTTAGAAAGCATATCGCACAATCCTCACACAATGTTCTACATATAAGGGTCCCGGTAGTACAGTCGGGTTGTTCTCGACCCTCAACAATCGAGAATTCCGGGTTTGAAACCCGGTCGGGACAGAAATGGTTGGGCAAATTTTCTTTCACCTAATGGCTCTGTTCACCTAGAAGCAATTAGGTACTCAGGAGATAGTCAGCTTGTTGTGGGGTTGCATCCTGGGTGAGGTCAGTAATTCAATCCCCACTGGGGGGGGGGGCCTTGATAAAAGCCTAACATGTATGAATACACCCTAGTTTCCTGTCCCCCTGACACAGTGAATTATATTATATGGTGATCAGGTGACAGTTTTCTATCCAACCCACCCCTAGTTCTTTCTTCATCAGACTTCTTTAACAGCTTTATCACAATTTGTAGGTTGTGTGTGGCCTATTTTCTCCTATTTCACATTCTATAATGTGACATTAATTCTCAGTAAATTACATTTGTCCAGTGTTGCTCCATACACATACACATATACACTGCAACACAGAGCAACTCTGTCTGCTATCACTTTCTCAATTTCTCTTTGCCTCTCTTCTCACTGTGTAATTATTTCTTGCTTCTTTGTATTGCTGGTGCATTTGAGAGTTGGCCTCTTCCTATATTGATTTCATTTTCCGTCTTGTTCTCTGGCGCTCTCAATTTCTATTGAACCAATCCCATTTTCCAGTTCTGCACCTCTGTTTTGGTATAAATTTTTTGTGACTTCATATATTTCACAAAACTTAGCATACATCTTGTTTACTTCCTTGCCTTTACTTGTGTGCCACTGATTTCATCTCGGTGGACACCTTGTTGATCCAGTTTCCTTGGTTCCTTGTTCCAAGGCTCTCACCTCTCACGTTGTCCACATTGCTATAAAGGCTAGCCAGCCTGCAGTCATGTTATGATTGTAAATACAGTATGTAGCTTTACATCATGTCACCTAGCCTGGTATCTTCATCTTACATGCCTGTTGCTTCTTCATTTCCTCCTCCCTTGCAAGTCCCTTTCTTGTTCTCTGTGGTTAGTTAGGTTCAGGGACTCGCTGAACCAGAAAGAGATGGTTCAAAAATCCAGCATTGAATGTAATTAAATACCAATACTGTATTTGGAGGAGCACCGGTGGCTTCTCCAAACACTCCGGGCTCATTAGTTTATCATGGCTTTGTTTATCAGTTTCAGAACTGACTTGGGGAGCTGGCCGAGAACCTGGTCTGGGCCACCTGGTGGTGGTAATCAATACTAACATTTTCGAGCTCATTCAAGTGAATCCCTTGTTCCAAGAGACTTATGGAATTAGTCTGGCAGTTTGAGGCTTCATTTTCTGTAAACCCCCAGTTGCCTGTAAAGATGCATCGACTTTCTGGAGGCTATTTCTATTGAGGTGACAGATTATCACCAGCTCTCTGCACCGCTTCATGAGAGGCATAGGTTCTCTCCTCTGGTCCCCTGTAGGCCAAACAACTATCCGTGACTAATGTGACCTTTCAGTATAAATACCTCAGGAAGACAACTTTAGAGAGCCACTGGGGCTTCTCCACAAATTGGCATTTTATTACATTCAATTCTCTTTTTTTTTATGTAAATTATTTTATCCAATATTAAAATGATTCTAGATTTATTGGCATTAAATAAATGTTGGATCACTTAAAATGTTCATAACTTGTGTCTGTATTTAACTAAATATTTTTGCTATTTCCACCTTGCAAGTTGTAATTATTTCTTATGTGCACGAATTAGGAACCTTCAGAACTTTATATAGGGTGGTTTTTATACAATACTGTATATACTGTATGCAGCAAGAGCAAAGCTGCCCACTAAGTAGTTCTGGGGCGTTTGAAAGTGATAGATGATAATATATATATGCTGTATATATATATAAAAGGGCAAATGCTGATAGAAATGCATTTGCCCTTTTGCTCTACGCGAGGTTTCTGTCCACGCTGAGCTGGCCTTAGGACACCTGCGTTATCATTTGACAGATGTACCGCCCCAGTCAAACTCCCCAGTAAAGTGATAGATGAAAAAAATGTAATTTTCAAATTTCAAAAGATATTTCCACACACTACTTAAAAATAAGAGACCAAAGGTGCCAGGAAAAGAGAGGGTGGCCGGTCATAATATAATACCTGTTGAATTACAACATTAAATACTGTAGCAGTGTGCCACTACCATTGGTTTAACAGGTGCCATAAACAAAGAAGTGCCAAAGCATTACGTATGCAATGTATGCAAAATACCAACAGCTTGGAAGCAAGAGATGTAGAAATAAAACATATGCATAATGAAATCATTAATACCCCATTTACCATTATCTTTGGGAAGAAAAACATCAGCCAGGAAAGAGTAAAGGAAGACAAACTAAAGACATACAAAAGATAACACCCATCCATTCACTCTCTCTCTCTCTCTCTCACACAATTGCTATGTCTGCAAGTGTGTATTCTGAGAATATGCACCTGACAATTAGCCAGTATAAATATGGCAAAATTAAAGACCCATCAAACCTCTCACACTGCAGTATTTCTATGGGTGACAGACAAAGAACAAAAATTGTCTTATTACACACTACAGCTCCCAACGCTTACCCATTAATTTGTCAATAACTGGATCTATAACGGCTGTGCAAAATAAATTCTGCAGCTCTGTTCGTAGATTAGATGATAATTTTGTCGAAACATACACCTTATTCTGAAAAAAATTCCCTCTTATTAATATTCCTTCAAACTTTAAGTTGCAGCTTTTAATGAGCTTTAAATGTTCTAATTCTCTATGGCAATAACAGGAAAGCAATATATCTAATATTCATTTACTTCAATCAGAAAATGGAAGCACTACTAAATTTTTCTGTACATTAGTCTCAATACAGTTTCACTTAAAATACTCTTAGTGTCTGTGTGTTCTTAGGTTCTTCCTAATAGCATTAATAACTCTCTTTTTATATTCCAATTAATATTCTTCCCTGCTGTTCCTAAACAAGTTGTCTAATGGCCATAAATACTGTCATGTCATTCTAATCTCAGAAGTTTCCTGATGAGCTCTTGTTCTATATTCCTACATCACATCCAAGAAATAATTAGATGCCTTTTCTTGTGCAATTTAAAACACTAAGCCCTCTGACTTGGATAGCTTTTTTTACCTCTTCTGTCTCAATTTTTTAAGTATTTAATCCTGTATAAACTATATAAGAAGCTAACTTTAGTACTAGAATGCATATATCTGTCATTTAACACTAGAACTTCGTTCTGCCCTTGATTTATAAATTGTAAAATAGAGACAATGCAAAGTGCATACACATAAATTAAGGAAATTTAATTGCTTTAAAACACTCTTGATTTCTGAAAGTGCAAAATATTTATGAAGAAACAATTTCATAGTAATATTTATCATTAGTTTTTTACTGAAAATCACAAACTAGTTAATCATCATCATCCATTTCCCTCTAGCCATAAAACCACCGAGTCATTTTATCACAAGATTAACTATTTCTATACCATGTCATAATTCTGATTACTATGTCTAAGATATCTTCAATGATCAGAATGAAATAAAATGTTTGTACTCAATTCAGCACAGACAGTTTACAGGCTGTTTACCATACGTCACCCATGGAAGCACTACTGAAGGAGAAGCAAGTGAGGTGTTCATTTTACCTGTTGCACATCTTTCTTCCTTCTTAATCACACTCAGTGGTCTGATCCCCTTTAAAACCTCCACATTAGCATCTCAGTAAGTACTATCATCTCATTTCAAATGTCTTAATCGTTTCTGTAGCTCTTATCATTTCAACGTTTGGATGCAAGCTCCAGCTCAAGTGTCACAAAGTAACGTGTGTTCTGTTATTCAAAGTGTTATCAGAGTACAGTGCACCACAGATAGAGATATTTCATTATTAAATAAAGACTTTTACATCAATAAAAAATATTCAACATGGCATAGTATGTAATGTCTGCCCTCCATGATCTGTTTACTAATGCAGGTTTTGCATACTGGTGCATAAACCTGCTCAATGAAACATCATTAGTGACAATATACCAGTGTTAATGTGATACATACCGATAACTATTATTTGGTGTTGAGCAATGTTATTTAATTTACACAGCATATGTGAACCAGAACCATACCCAAAGATTGAATACACTGGATACTGGCCCAATGGGTGCTGTGCTATTTGGATATATGCTCATGCTGTGCTACAATATTTGGGTACAGGTCAATGGAGAGCTGCATAATTAAGATACAAAATATATTGTGATGTAAATGTAATGCATTCAGCCCTAAAACAGAATAGCACACTGGCAAGCAATGTTACAACATCTATAACATTTCACTGGCCCTATTTATATGCCAGGATTTAAACTATCGGCTTATTAGACAGTTATTATTCATTACCATTACAGGTTAAGATTAGATTTTTTCGACACGCCTATCCGATCTCAAACAACTAAAGATACTCATTATTCCAGAGAAAATTAGACTATTGTAAAAGATATATACCAGGGTGATTCAACATCTTGAGCATACTAAAGAACATTCAATACAAAGATCAGAAGCAGCACAGTGATATTAACTATAAAACCCTGTAAAATCATGCTACTAATGTCTTATAATATCTACAAAAAAGATTAGTCATAAAATAGCATAATTAATTTCCAATTAACAGCAAATGGCAGATTACCCAGCCTGTGTGTTTCATACAGCTCAACTGAGTGTCTAAGGCATGTAGTGCACACCCAGTGGTAACTAGTGGGTGTGCACCAAACACTCATTCTTTTGTTTCTCTGATGTTCCCACTCTTACTCCTATTATTACACCCTTTATTACACCTTACCTTCTGTACCTTTTGCCTTGCTCTTATCTTCCTCCAAGATTTCCATCTCCTCACCTCTCTCATGCCTACTTAATCCCCTTGCTTCCCTCGTCTCATCACAATCGACTTGATAATGGTCCAGGACGGACCAAAATGTTGTCGTCTCTTCAATTTCTAGTGTGTGGTTTGGTCAACATTTTTCAGCCACGTTATTGTGACTTCATCTGCAACTAGTGGGTCACATGAAAGACAGTCAGACACACATGGAACACATGAGGGAATATCTCGCATACTAGCTACAGTAGAATCTCTCAGAAATGGTAGAAAGTATTATTTAACAATATACTGTAGACACAATATACTATCCGGAATCTGACCATCCAAAAAATGCCCCTATCCGGCAAAAATCATGGCCGGTTAAAGATCTCACTATCCGGCCAAAATGTTCATGGGAGCCAGAAAAGTGGGTGTTTGGCCGGATCAGTGGCCTAACACTCGTTGTACACAAACAAATCCACAAGGGCCGTGACAAGGATTCGAACCTGCGTCCAGGAGCATCCCAGACACTGCCTTAACCGACTGAGCTACGACAGGGTAAAAAGAGTTGAAACCGAAGTTCTACTGAACTTACTGGATCCCGTAGCCTCTCCAAGGCACAAACTAGGGTTTTACACAACTCCCCCCCTGCACCCGAGCTTTGTCAATAGGCCGTTCTCCCTCTTCGCCCTTACATCATTACACACAGAGATCACACTAACGTGATGCATCAAATGAACAAATCAACGTGATGCATCAAATTTGATCATTTGATGCATCTCGTTGTACACCATCACCAAGAAGGGAGGGAGTCATCCCTCACTGCTGTTCACTGCCTGTCCCACCCACATTCACTTTACCTCACTCCCTCCCTCCCTCCCCAAGAGATCCTTCTGTAGGTGGCAGTAGATTGCCAGCCTGGAGAATTTCCATCTAATACAATAAAGCATTCATGAAACTAGTATTTTTATACATTTTTATTATCCTAATAATATTGCTAAATAAAATCTGTAACCAAAAATATATATGATCATGTACTAAACATCCAGAATTTAAGAAACAAAATTTAAACAATTCTGGCTATCTATCAATTCTGGGAGCCGGTCGGCCGAGCGGACAGCACGCTGGACTGGTGATCCTGTGGTCCTGGGTTCGATCCCAAGCGCCGGCGAGAAACAATGGGCAGAGTTTCTTTCAACCTATGCCTCTGTTACCTAGCAGTAAAATAGGTACCTGGGTGTTAGTCAGCTGTCACGGGCTGCTTCCTGGGGGTGGAGGCCTGGTCGAGGACTGGGCCGCGGGGACACTAAAAAGCCCCAAAATCATCTCAAGATAACCTCAAGATCTGTGACGAGTGTAGGGTTATCTGAGCAAGACCGTCCCTCCCCTCACCACCAACACACCTCCCCATATCCTATACACACACTGCTTAACCCTTAAACTTCGCAAATCATATATATATATATGCTTTCAGAGACAAAACCGAAACCGTGCATGTCATATATATATGATTTCATGTCTAGCGCTATAATTTAAACGCCCCACCTGGGATAGGGACAGCTATAGTGCAGCCACGACCGATAGTTGCCACCAAGAAAAAAAATCCAGGCCAACATTCTTGGGTATGAGAGCGTCAATATTGAGCAAGCCACCAAGGCTGGCGCAAGCAGCACGAGCTCACAGCACCGCTGTTCAGCTTGTGACCACAGCATCGCCTACAAATGCCATAATATATATGATCATGCTATTATTTAACGATGATAATATTATAGAAGACTGTGATAAAACTGACCAGGATTCTGATAATAGCAGGATTGTGGTGATATTTAGATCTGTGCTCCATGGAGGGTGGAGTAAGGCTGTAGGAGGGAGAGTGGTGGCGTCGTCTTCTGACTGTGTGTGGCCACCTTTTATTGACTGCACTCACCATACCAGCTTAGTGGTTCGCTATGGTGAACACAAATGTAGATACTTATATATAACGTGTGTATAGAGTGTGATAATAGCAATAGAAGTAGGTTGGGAGTTGCCATTTTGGTGAGGGAGGTGCATTGTCTGCACTTCTTATGTTGTTTACTGGTGGCCACTATGGTCTTTGGACACCATGCCAGCTTATTTGTCCAGGTATGGTGAATACAACAGGTAGATACTTATATATAATGTGTGTATAGAGCGTAATAACACCACAAACAGTATTGTTGGAGGAGAAATATTAGTGCGTCTGGCCTTGAGGGCAGCCACCACCAGCTGACTGTGTGAGTAGCTACGTCTTCATGTCTTTACTCGCCATACAAGCTTAGATGTATAGTTATGGTGAACAAAACATTTAAATACTTATATATAATGTCTGTGTATAGTGAATAAATGCAAAAACAGTATTATGGGAGGAGAATGAGGGCGAGTGAGGTGTTGTTAAGGGAGGGAGTGGCAGTGAGTGGCTGGCTGGTGTGTGGTGGTCACTCCTCGTTGCTTTTTGACTCACAATACCAATTTAGTGGTTTGTTATGGTGAACAAAACATGCAAATACTTATATATAACCTGTGTATATAGTGTAACAACAGCAAAACTATTTGTTTATTGTTTTATGAACATAATTGAATCACTAATATGCACATCATAAATTTGAGTACAACGATGGTTCACACATTTTATTATATAAATATATCACAATTCACTGTATTGAATAATATTACTGCAAAAAACTAAGAAAAAATCAGACATTGAAATAATTAGGTAATAATATATTTGTGGCAACTGCCGCCTGACAGCTCGAGCGGAGTAGACCTCGTCTGGCAAAGGCTCTGTCAACGTCCCTTTTTTTGCCACACTTCCCTACCCTATTGC